CTCGGTGAACACAGCATCTTCCGATGTGCCCTCTTTTTCTTGCGGGGGCCGGACCCGAGGCTTAAGGGGGGGGGGGGGGGGGAGTTCAGCAGCGCGTCCCACAATGCGAGAAGGCGGCGGTCGGAAACGTGGGGGGCGTAACAGACGAACAAAGAGGTGTACGCACAGTTGCCGAATTAACCAAACCGGTCGCCCGTTCCCTCGCCCCCCTCCTTCTCTCGTCTTGTATTACAGCTCTCACGGACCGCCGCATGGTCACCTACCAAGGGCGCCTGAGGAACAAGAGGCTGACATAAAGAAACGTGCAAAAAAAAAAAGAAAAAGAAAGAACACCCCATGCCGTGGTGGGCACACACATAAAAGTGCATAGCAGCGGTCTTTATTCTCACGCCCCGCTCTCACGGACCTTCTCCTTCTTCTTCTTCATCAAGTACCGCGGCAGAAATATCTCTACGCTGTTGGCGATGATCAGCCGCGTGCAGAAGATGATGGCGAGCGACTGGCACAGGCTGTCCAGGCACGAGTCGTAGCTGCACCCGGTCGTGAAGGGCTGAACGAACGCGATGTAGAACAGCGACGCGTACGAGTTGACGAACTATCGTGTTGTCGAAAGCGAGGAAAAGCGGGAGGGGCGGGGCGGGGCGGTGGGAGGAAAGAAAAGAGGGGGTGGGTGTTAGTCACCCACGAGAAACAAACTCTGTCAACAACAGCGCGCGTAAAAAACGCCGAAAAGCGAAATTTCCTTGAAAGTTAACCACGAAACCAAGCAAACGAACAATAGACAAACGTATTGCTCCCAAATGAAACCCACCAGGCCTGCGATTGATCAGCACGTCCTCTTCCACAAGACCACTTCGTCATCCCTCCCTCGCCCGAAAAAAAACAAAACAAACAAACTAGATTTTTTCATTTTTTCTGTCGATACATATGCTTACAGAGATGATGTTCGTTGTGTAATACTTCCAAGTAGAAAAAACAAGAAACAAACGAATGATGAGCCTATGATACATCTTTGGTACTCCAAATATTTCTTTCTTTTTTTCTTGTTTTTTCTTGTTGCACCTGGAAAACCGCTAGCTTGGCGACCAGCATGTCCTCGAAGATCGTGTCCGTGCGGTGGTTTTCTCTCTTGGTTGTCCAGACGGCCACCTTCTTGTACAGGAAGTTCATCACCTGGATCTCCAGCGACAGGAGGAAGGAAGCCACGTACGACCCTGTTTTTTTTTCAACCAAGGCATATGGGAGAGGGCGGAGGCAAGGGTAAGCCAAATGGCGAGGGACAAGCGGAGTGCAAGCAAGGGGCTCCGTGCGAACGCGGCGACTGACGGGGGAGGGAGTTTTAAGTCGACACGCAAGTGGTTCATTCACGACAGAAAAAGCAAACGAACAAAGCCATTTACATCCGTAATTCGTCAGATATGATCGGGTCTTTGATAGAAGCCGAAATCAAACCATTAGACTAGTCAGCGCTGACTAGTCTAATGGTTTGATTTCGGCTTCTATAGGTCACTACCTAGGATCAGGGAGAGAAAGAGAGAGAGAGAGACAGGGGGGGAGAGAGAGAGAGAGACCACTTTCTTCTCAAGGGAACCCCCGAGACGATAAATCAATTAGTCTAATAGTCGGAAAAATTCAGTGCAGTCCTGGTTCATGAAGAGTCCAGTCTCCAGACGACCGCTGTCCGGCACACGCAAGAAGCGATCGACACCATCACCACAGCAAGTCACGCGCGATTCTTAAGCCTCATGTATTTCGATCGTGGCGGATAATAACCCTGTCGACTCACCGTAGTCATTCAAGAAGGTGCTGGAGCTCTCGTCCCACTCAATCTCCAGGACGAAGATGACGGCGATCAGGGCGACGGCTAGTGCCATCATGCTCACCACCAGTGTGTTGGCCACCACCAAGAGCTGATAGTACTCCTGGGAGGGGTTGGGGTAGGTGGTGGGCGGGGCGTACTCTTGTTATTGCATGCCTTAATTGTTAGACCATTGGGGGGGGAGGGGGGGGGGGGGGG